GATGATGCTGAGACATCGAAACATGTTGTAATATATAGCGCAAATTGTAACATCGTGGAAACGATGAATAGCGCGAAATATTTATATCAATTTTAATTTTTAACATCAATATTAATATAGTTTGTGTATAGACTTGAAGAATAAATATATGTATGAATTGAAAACACAAACATGACGCATCTAAACTATAAAAATAGAATATAAAAGTTTCTGTGCCTCAGTTATTTCATTAACTAGGGTGAGTTCTGAGAAATAGTGTTTTTGGAAGTTTTCACTCTATATATAAGGTCTACTGCAGAGCAAAGAAAATTTCGTTGTTCACAAGTACCTGAGGAGATGGAAAGAAGCAAATTTATTTTGCATGAATTTGCAGCAGTTCCTATAAACTAATTTGACATTTTCTAATTAAAAGGGGAATTTTCTTCAATGAACAGAGTTTTTCTTGAACTTTTGGTACTTCTTAACTTAAAATTCTTTGTTATGAAATTTGAAGCCTCATTTCCGTCATTTAAAACCACCATTCTAATTTTACTGTTTTAATTTGTGCGATAATATTTTGCATACCTAATTCATCTAGATTTCTTATGAGCTCTGCCATCTCCTGCTATTCCTACCGCACTTTACCTGTCACAATAAACTGCAAAAACAGTAGTGAATATTTACCAAATTTCATCTATAAAAATCAGAAAGTAAACAATATTTCCGACCTTACTATTGCGGCTATTGTGATAAAGTGGCTATTGGCTGTTTCATTAATTCTCAGGCAACGAAACCCGAAATTTGAATGCGCTGAGCCAGTTTCATCAGAAATTTGGCCTCATACCAACTGTCACACTGTAGTGCTCTGCACTGGTGCCTCGTATTCAGAATGTCAGCTATCCTAACTGGAGTTTTTATTTTCATAAGTTCTTTTATTTTATAATTCACTGTCTTTCTGCCATTCGAAGCTATACAGTCTCAGTGTGTACTATTGATAAAGCACTGTTAAATAAGCCGAGAAAAGGAAAGACGTAAGAACGGAAGCAAATATAGTCTCACAATATTTATTATAAAGTAAAGTTTTAGTTATCTAAGTCTTCCAAATATGATATCAAAGTTTTCTTTGTAGTTCTTGTCCCCCAGTTAGAGCTACGTGCCCATCCCATCGTAATCTTGGTTTAGAAAGGAGGTAACCAAACGTAATTACGATTAAGACAAACTTACAGCCAAGGGTTTAAATACTGCCCATCTCCCGTATGAAATACACAAGCAGTATAAGAGATAACTTCATATTAAAGCAAGTAATTACAAGAAATGTGTGAAATGAAACTGTGTTGTAGACTGCCTACCTGTTTGGAACAATCAACAGTTGTTACCACGGCTGCAACCAGTACACTGACGAACAGTGGGCGCTTGGGAATATGGCGGCAAGGAGAAAGTTGTCATGTCAAGACAACGGAACATGGCACTTTCCTCGATTCCTTAGTTAGGAAATCTTTTCAGCTTTAAAATTTGTCAGGTTATATTTATTATATGTTTAATCTGGGAACTGAACGGCCCTGCATAGTTGTTAGTACATTTATTTCGTAATTGCAAGGTCACCATTCCTGTGCCATGACTGGTGTTTTCTATGATAGTACATTTAAATAGGCGACGGCCGCTTCCTTCCATGAAATCCCAATTTGTCATTTACAATCCTCGTTTTCTTTGCGGTACGGACTGAATTATTAAATGTTATGTAGGAGAGCTTCGTTTCTAAGGCTTAATATTTTAAACTGAAATTATGTTATTTTAAATACTTCTTGTAAAGCAACATAGCAGATTATACCAACAGAATGTCTTGGGAAACTTGACATAAGCTTTGAAAGATGTTTTGTTTTAGTTCAGAAATCTAATTCATTCATTTCCATTCATTTTTCACCTCACAACTTCACCCAAGTATCACGTTCATTTTAATGAGTGTGGAAAGTCACAAAGTGTAAGTTTGGGGTTGACCCCCAAATGGAATAACATCCATACTTAATTTAATTTAAATCCTCACATGCATTATCTAGTTATTAAATATGAAAATCCTTGCAGTTAAACTTCCTATAATCACGCAGACGGATATCACATATCAAGTTTTAGTTAGGATAGGTCATGTGCAAGCATCACTAAACCACCCTAACTTGACCATCACCTGTGTTATCCGTCTGTGGGCATTTCACATTTATATAATTTCTGCTCATATTAGTAAATCATTCTCCTTTTACAAGTCATCCTCCAATCCACGGTTTTGTTGAAAACAAAGGCATACTTAAGCGTCGTTGTTAATTATTCTCAATTAATTAACGTTGATAAACATGTAACAAAATGTTTCCACTTTCAGCAAACCAAAGAGCACGTTACTGACCTTTCTATGCTGTCTCCTGGTATTCAGGCGACTGTGCTGCACTAAGTCGCCATACAGAATGACTGTTTACTAACACTAGACACACATTACACGGGGACATGCCAGCTATTTGTATTACACTACTACAGCAGTACTTCAGCCGATCAAATTCCTTACGAAGCCATAGCACACGTTGTTTCGACAATAAAATGTTTTTAGTGCAGTAAATTTTCCGAATTCGACTTTCTATATTGTTTGTCGTGGTTTTTCTCAGGCTGGGATATTGGTTTGAAATTCTTCAATTAACATAACCATGCTCAACAAAAATGAGTGCCCCGTTATACAAAGCGTTCCTGATTCAAATCCACTTAATCCTTTTCGGATCATTAAACCAAGCTACGTTGAATTAGGTTTCCCATAATTTCCTTCTGTACCCGCATTGAAGTCCCGTAGTTTGTATTAGCTACGATAGATTCCAACACATCCTTTACCAGTTCAGTAATTATTACTGCATTGTTATCTCTCATCTGAACTATTAAGTCAAATAAATATGACTGTCTCATATAATACGATGTTAAACAGCCAACCCTCCAAAAAATCACTATAGGAAAGAATACTTCAATCACACTGCCAATCGAAATCTGCAGTCTTCATGCAACATAATATGGCTGCTATGTTAAAGTATTGAGGAATGTTAAGTTATCTCACGAGTTTCAGCCGTAAAAGACAAAAGTTCCATTCTTCGCAAATTAACTTCAACACAAGCGGTTCTTAGCCTTACAGTTTCATGTGTACGGTTATATAAATCGCGGATGATAAAAACAAATTTCGATAAATCTGCCGATGTGAAACGAATCATATTAAGATGGACGACGTAGTAATAAAAATACAGTAGTTTATACAAATAAAAACGTGACTATAATTTATAATTTATTTCCTCCGAGTGTAAATCCAAAGTTAAACGAAAAATCAATGCTCAGCCTTTTGTCATCTACCGCCGAAAGAATTATAAATTAATATTTGAAACATACGAATTCCACTCTTCAGCAAAACGGGCATTTTACTGTATTTCACACGATCACCAACCAGTTAAGCCGGAAATTCGTTTTACATCGATAATCTTGAAATACGGCACCGTACAACCTTCCGTCTGCTATACACACATTTAACATCAATATAGGCCATCCATATCTTATTCTTTTTCTACTTCCATCACACTGTTTCCATTCAATATGGGTCTGATCGAAAAGTGTTCTGGGCCACCCCATGTATGTCCTTCCTCAAAAGCTTAATGCTAATACCCTTCCTGGTATTAAAACTGCACATGATAATACTAGCCAAGGCATATGATACATGAGTTTTCAAAATGCAAAACTCTTTGTTCTTGAAACAGGAAATTATGAATCACAAAGTAAATTATATTTATTTTGAACAAATTACATTGTAAATTATGTTAATTTATCGTATGTCATGGCAAGCAATTTAACCAAAATATATTCAAAGTTCCATGTTTGTTCTTTAGTACAGTTCGTTTATATAACGAAACTATGGGTACATTAATTGCAGTCATTAATATAGGGTCAAGTTGGAAATTACATTTTTTGAGAATATTTACAAAATATAACTGAAGAAATTCATCACCTTGTAATTCGTGACTGATATTAAGAAAGGAGTTAGTTTTATGGTGATGTCAGAAGAGGTTTGTCAAGGGTGGTGGTTAACATATAAAGAAGTGTCCAAACCTCCCACCCTCATAAAATTGAATATTAGTTTTCATTGTTTTAAGTCTTCGTATTTGTTGATCAGACTTCGTACAAGGTAAAGTACACAAAAATAATTATGTACCACAGCCTTAAAGTTTATTAGAAATTTGAATTGTTAAACCACATGTACAGATTGTGAGTTGGTTGTTTTTCATTCAGCACGTTAGTAAAGTTCACGGCAGGTCATAAATAGATGCATGTATATGAACATTTACAACCATTGTATGACTTGATGTTTATAATCTTCAGAATATCACATTCTATGAAATAAATGTAAATAACACTTAATGGTTATTTAATTAGTGCCTACAACTTTTAAGAGGAATATTCTTCATCTACCAAATATTTATTTAATTTCACTTGCAAATTTATTAAGGACCAATTAATTAATTAATAGCAGAGATATTTTATTCACACAGATACTGTAAAATACATGTTATTTGTAACAGAGAGAAATCACAAATATCATTCATAATGACAGGCCCCATACCACCATTCCAACACATTTTATACTCAAAATCATTAATTTGTATCCTGACATCTTGCATTGCAACAATATTCTATTCTACAGATACTCTAATAATAAATTTGTTATGTGAAGGCTTATTAAGAATTTTCTCTCACATTGTAAGAGTCTGTTATTAATTTTTTATATTTTTACTTACGTTTACTATAACTGTACTGCCATATTTTTATCGTGATGATAAGTAATATTTATTAAAGACCAAAATCATTCTAAAATTATAGGTATTATAATTTTAGAACAGCTTCTAAGAGATGTTCTGGTGTTGGTTTTGAAGCTACTGACCACACTTTCAATTTATATTCAGAAAGAGCTGCTTCTGCTGTTGTGGGCCCAATGGCAACCAACTGAAAAAGAAATGGGGCCAGATTGTTTCCTACATTGTAGGGATATGTATACATTGTTAAGGTACATGAGACTGAATATGAGGTAAAGTAATTTTCAGTTCAACTGCAGAACAAATTTCACATTTTAATTACTTGAGATGACATTTATATATAGTGTAAACAATAATATACATTGATATTAACTAATCTGAAGAAAATAACATAAAATGACAAGAAAGGAAAGAACAAAGCTGAAGTTTTATAGTGATGCAGTCTGCACACTTTTATAATGTAAGTGGATCTTAGGTTATGAAGAAAAAATGTTTGAACAATCCAATCAATGGAAATTAAATTTTTAACAAGTAATAAGAACTGTACTGGTACTGAATTAGACAGAATTAACCTGAAACTACGTGGATGGAACTAAATATGTATTTGGTAAACAGAATAATACAGGATATTAGATATTGTAGGTGCATCATATTGTGATTTTATTTAAAAATAGTTTTAAAATATATTAAAATTGTCCGTCAATCACAATAAAGTAATATAAGATAATTAAATGGTTAAAATATTATCCTTTGTTCCGTATCGAGTACTCGATTTACATTTGGAACATTCTCGACATGTTTCAGCTTTCATAGAGCCGTCATCAGGTGTATGTTATAAACTCTTAATTCAATTACTAATTTTTAATTTTCGTATCATTTCTTCATTTTTCACATTGTATCAACATTTGTTGATGTATTATATATCATTGATATTGTATCGATACGGAACAAAGGATAATATTTTAACCATTTAATTATCTTATATTACTTTATTGTGATTGACGGACAATTTTAATATATTTTAAAACTATTTTTAGAATAATACAGGACAAAAGAAAGAAATAGTTAATCCATGTTAAATAGAATGCTCCCTGGCCAAAAACAGACTTCTAAAACACCATCTTCTTTAAAAACCAAAGGATAGTGATACAAGGGAAAAGCTTTTGGAAGATGACTGCCAAGCGGAAAGAGACTTAACCCTAATTAGAGGAGGGCTGACTTCAGCCCAGAAATTGGAGGCAATATGTTTCCCCAAAATATTGGTATCTACCTACACTGTAGTTACAGTACTTATTATTTATCTTCTGAATGTGCTAAGTGGGTGCACTGCATTTTCAATTTACCTTACAGTTGCATTCTGTAACCTTTAACTGGGCTTAAAAATAGTTCCTTCCTTTCTTAAGTTAAAAGCTTTTAACTTACTAGCTTGTTAAGATGGAAGTCATACCTTCAACTGGTGTAAAGGTACTTGCATTTTCTCAAGGATAGGAATTGTATATTTCATTCCCGATGGACTGAAGTATACCACTGTCTCCGGAAAACCAGAATTCTGCAATACAATTTCATCCAACCTTTGCTCTAACTGTGGATGAACATGTGTCTGATACACTGTAACTGCAATGACTCTGATATGTTTGCTAGATAACTTAGTTGAGAGTTCATCCCTTTTCAGATTTCCACACGGAAACAATAAAGGATGCTCATATTTACCTGCAATTAAAAAAACAACATAAAATTTACCCTTGTCAATTCTTGACTTGAACTATTAACTAACTCACTCTACTGCATTTAATCTTTTATGAGCAGTTCACAGCTATTAACACATTCCCTGTTATGGAAACTGAAGGTCCATCACTATTATCACAAAAGACCACCTATCTTGATCCAGTTTCATCAAAGTTACATGTTTACAAAAGCTATTGTCTTTACACTGTCCTCCCACCAGTTAATCATGGTGCAGTGGTTAGAATTCTTACTTCATATTCAGGAGTTCTTGGGGTTAAATTCTGGCCACACTAAAGTTTCTAGTGATTTTCCATAGTTACACCAGCTAAATGCTGTAACAGTACCCTCAAACGAATGATGACTGCATCCCTTTATTTAATTTGAAAATTATTCCAAATTTACCAAGTATCTGGGAAGGTGCTAATAAATATAAACAATGAACATGATTAAATTGAGAACAGTGTAATCTGCTTTCATTATTCAGTTCAAAAACTATTATCAAGTTGTCTACTTTCCAAAATGCTTAAGGTCAGGATAAAAAAAAACTAATTTTGCCAGTGATTTTGTAAGGCATAAAACATGACCCCCTTCTTTGATGGATAACATAAATACGCGGTGTTAAAAAAATTGTCAGGAAACTGTTTGGACCTAGAAGGACAAAGTAGATTAGCTACTTAGGATATTACACTGCAAAAAACTTTGTTATTTATAGTCACTTGGCATTGTTAGGACAGTCACATTTAGGAGGCTGTGATATGCCAGACATGTGGATAGGATCAGACAAGGAATGCATGGAGGCATGGTGAAATTTGAAGGCTGTGGGAAAAAAAAGCTTAATTCATGTGTCCTTCAGTTGTCCCCTGTAACTCACTTTGGAAAATTTCATCAGCTAAAGCACTTGCATTTCCTGTGGTGCTTCCTTTCCCATTCAAGTGCAGCAATTTCTTTAGGACATTTGAAGTTCCCTCTCCAACAACAAAAACTGGGTGGTTCTGCCACCCTCCAAGCAAGCTTTTTGCATCCTTGATGCATGCAACTGCTCTGACGGCTCGTGGACTTGTGAACACAAGCCCTGAAATGCATAGTATCAAGCATTTAATTATAAAGTTCAATCTACATTACAGAAGTTTTCATTTAAGTGCAAAATACAAGAATGGAATCACAGAAGGGACAAATGATTATGTGGTTAAAAAACTGGTTACTTGATCGGTATTTTAACCAGTTTAAGAGACAAGGAGTTCCATCTTGTGTTGTTAATCTTATATTTGGGCACTTAAGTTTGCTTTAACAATGAACAGTGATTTAACTTGTGGGTTTGTGCATCGATGGTTGCATGATTGTATCCTACCTTCATCACATTCCATGGGACGTTAGCATGTTAACAATACCAAACTACTGGTACTTATCCTGGGACATACAAATCCAGTCCACATACTTACACCATATTTTCTTAAGATTAATTTTAATACTGACCCCCATCTATGCTTATGTTTTCTGAATAAAATCTGGGGTGCATATTTAATTATCTACCCACTGCATGCTGTATGCTCCACCCATTTCATTCTTGATTTTATCACCTTAGCAATATTGTGTGTGGAGTAAAAATTATGCAGCTCCTCATTATAAAATTTTATCCAGCTTCCTGTTACCTTCCCTTAGGTTCTCAGCACCCCATTCTCAAACTCACTCTTGGGTTGAGGGATCAAGATTCACATCCACACAAAACAGGGTAACATTATAGTACATATATTAATTATGTCCTTTTAGATATGTGAGAAGGTAAACTATTCTGAACTGAATGGTAGGAGGCATTGACCAAATTTAGTCTGTTTCTAATTCATCGGTAAATGTAATTTTAATTTGTTACTGTCATTCTCAAATATTTTAAGTCTGCCACAGTTCGAAAGTAATATTAGCCACCATTTTTTTTTTACAATTATGTCCGGATTTATAATGATACATGAACATATTTTTCTGCATTCACTTATAGAGCAACCTTCTTAGCAGTATGTAATAAAGTTTGTTTATATATATATATATATATATGCGGCCTGCAAATTAACCTCACTAGCACACACCATGAATTGATGCATCCAAAAATACATAGATAATAAATGACTACACAATTTACGGTTTAATAATAAATATTGGGTACATTTCTATTTTTGTAGTGTCTTAATCCCAGCCTTGTACTAAAAATCATGCTTATAATTCGAAATCAAGTTGCAAATTTGGAGGCATTTACCTGAAAACAGACTAGGATTTTTAATTTTTTGTTCCAACACGTGTAAGTTACAGTATTCGAAATCTAATACAGTAACATTTTTGGTACGTAATCCCGCTTCTTCTAACTTCGTTCTGTAGGGATCATAATCCCCGTCAATGTCATCCGTGGGTGCTCTGAATAACAGTACCTCTCCTTTTACTGTTTTCATTTTCTATTAATCTGTTCTTAAAGTGATAAGAATGTTGATATTGAGTATATCCTAGAAACATTACACATATTACAAAAGTATAAACTTCACAGCTAACATATCTTCAATCGTTTGCGTCCAAGTCGTTGGTAATTAATGATTGCGTTCATCAGTTCGAACGGAAAAGTACTAGAATTTAAGAACCTTAAACCCACATAACCTACATAACGTTACAGCAACAGTCTGTTCCCTAAACTAAATTGCATCAGGTGTCATCTGTGAGCACATTATACTATTTTTACATGTGCTGAAAACGGTAGATGAGACCGATATATAGAACTTATCCATCTGTATTTACGCAAATGTGAACTTATCATGTAGACACACAATTTTGTTGCTTTACACATGTAGATGATGACATCTGTCAGTCATCTAGTAAACTATAACATATACCACCGTTCATGTGTTGTGTCTTTGTGGTGGATACAATCATTGGAATCGTAGATGTTGGAAATGTTCTACTGTAAATTTGATTATTCTTCTGTCCTTCGCCCCACTGTTTCACTTACATGTTCGGAATGTGTGGGGGTCTTGTAGTGGTATTTCGATAGTTTTGTCATGTTAAAAAATGACTTGGTAAGGTTTTATTTTGCTATGGTAATGGAATACTGGTGAAATGTAGTCCTGTCTTCAAATAAAACTAATGCATGTAAATTATAGGAATCCCTTGAGGAGAAATTACTTGTCCACCAAGCCAAGTCCAGCTCCGCTTGTTCTTGCTAAGATAGATGAACGAAATTTGGAGATTGTATTTCAAAGACTACAAAAGTAAGTTGGTTTCTGAAAAGGTGAGGTTATGTATTAAGATTCTTGTGTTAAGCGCATCAGTATATCTCAAACTTCTTATCATGTATCTAATGTTAAGCATTTGACGTCACAATATTATTAGTGTAAATGCATTGCTTCAGACTTTGCTACCTGGGATCCAATCTGTATACCCAAACTGACCATTCCTGTACTTGTGAGTCTATTTATGCTGGAGTGGCACAAGGTCAGTCACTCCTAAAGAAGGGCCAGACTCCTTTCATCTTTGTTACATGAGATGGAACTGTATAGTTTTTGGAATGGCTACTATACCATTATTCAAAATTCCTGCATTGCTGTAACACCTATGTAACTACTTTTATTGGCAGCATTGAAGAAACTACAAGAAGACTTCAGAAAGATATGAAGAAGTACCTTGAAAATGTAGCATCTGTAATAAAGTCAGAGCAGAAAATTACAACAGACTTAAGTGGGAGTGCACTTTGTCATCAGAATGCTGAGCTGAGGAAGCTTGTAGAAGATTATCACTCTGTAACCTCACAGGTAGGTATTCTGTTGTTTACTAAGCAGGTTGGCTCAGGTTGTAATACTTCCGACTGTATTTGGAACGCAATTGGTTTTAAATTCAGTTAGGTCATGAGTCCCAGCCTCCTGTCCAAAAGGTTATGGGTTCCTTTCTTGGGGGTAAAGTGTGGCCAGGGTGTGACGCTAAGCAGGAGCTATCCCCCCAAACACCTACGTGGCATGTAGTGGGACAGCTTTTAGGACATGAGGACATGTGACTGAAGTATTTTATGGTTGTCCTCAGTCCCTTCACATGAATGCTGGGATGTAAATTTGATTTAGATCATGGCCATTTAATCCCTACTCCTTTCGAGTTCATTGAAAGTGATTATCCTTTCATATCATTGGCCCCATGTAACCAGTACAGTTGTTACAGGAATGTTAAATAAACTACATTTGTGTTGTTGCCTGCAGTTGAGGTGTACAAAATTTGGATTGTTAGTGAGGTTCTTGGATCAAAAACGTTATGATTTCATTTTTCTTTTGCCATCCCATTTAAATATGCAGTTGTGGTGTTGCTTTAAAAAACTATTCAGCAATTGTCTGGAGACATTGAAGAAAACTAAAGAAATATGGGTCTCTGATTAAGACTTGAATTGTGTATACATAAGGTGCATTACTGCTTGAGCTGACATATTTGATAATCCACAATATGTTTACTGTTCTTTTTTATATAAGGAAAGCCAGGCTTATGATTTAGTGCTCTTACTGTTGTAGGTTTGTGTAGAACTTCACCTAATGTAAGCATAACTTGTGTCTTAAAAAATCAATTAAATGTATAATATTATGTTAGTATACTGGGATACTGGGAACGACCCGTTCTTCAAGTGCCTGAGCACTGCAGGTCCCAACTTTTTGTTGGCTTGATCTATAGACATTTTGGTAGGATTCCTTGGACGAGGGATCAGCCTGTCGCAAGGTCTCTACCTGTACACAGGACAGCACAACACCAAAAAACGCAAACATCCATGGCTTGAGTGGGATTCGAATCCACGGTCCCAGCAACCAAGCGGCACAAGGCCCATGCCTCAGACTGCGTGGCCACTGTGGACCCCTATATTAGTATAACATTTGTAATATTACAGATGCTGGAATTATTTTCCTGTAACCTCTGGGAAATAATATTACCCTACAAAATTCTTGCCTGATCTTGAAACATATGTTTTATAGTCTTAGTAATAATGTATTATATTTATGAAATAAATATATTGCTATGTAGTTATGCTAGGAAGTAAACTTCAAAGCAATATACTTTTTTGTTTCAGTTATATAATTCTGCACGAGATCTCTCATCAGTTAACCAGCGAACATTTCTGGAGCCATTAAAGAAGTATGGTGGTATATTTAATAGTGTTGATTCAGCATTTCAGCGCCGTGAGCAGCTACTTCAGGAATGGCGCAACCTTGCAGCAAAAGTTCACAAATTGGAAGAACGGGAGCGGACAGCTAGTAATGTTGTGAAACTTGAACGTGAGAAAAAATCTCTTGAGGTGTCAGCCAAGGAACTGGTGACATGTCATGCTTTCCTCCTTTCAGAACTAACTCAGTTTCTTGAGAAAAGGATCAGTTACTTCCACCCAACACTTCAGGCACTGCTGAGATCACAACTTGAATATTATGGAAATACTACCAGACTCTTCACTCACCTTGTACTTGGTACCAATGCTAAAGAAGGTTCACCTTCATCATTATCTGTTTCAGACTCAGAATTTGAGGCCAGTATTAACAGCAAGTTGATTCGCATCCGTGCTTTATCCATTGTGAAAACCTAAGTTTATGACATACTTTGTACAAAATAGATCTCCGTATCGCAGTATGTTCTGATTTGTACTGTATGTTTCAAGTAAGGATTTACTTCACCTTCTATCTGATTGTTATATAACAGTAGAAGTCCTGACAAGTTACTTGATTTCACTTACAATTTTAAAGTTATATAAATTTTCCACAGTTTTATTGGTTAAAATGTGGGAAATGGAGATGCAATACATGAAAATGCGTTTCTTAAGAGAAAAGTACACAGCTAAAGTGTGGATCATATCCAATGACTATTCCTCCTATTTTAAGTATAGAAAATGTCTGACATAATGACTCTAATATTCTAGTGTGACTGAGAGTTTCTACTCTGTGCACATCTAAGCACTTCATAAATTTTTGTGGCTATCTTTGTAGGTTTCACTGTAATTCCAGCCATTTCAAAATGCGGTAACTAGTATGAAAACTTGTGTTAAAGACTCAGAAGTGGTACAGTCCAGTGCCTTCCCTCCAGCTCAATATCTATAATTTATTGTCCCTGTTATGTGAGTTATTGGCTTACAGTAAACTCAGTCCAGAAATGTTAAGGTCATTTCTCACATACGCACATCTCGATATTAGTATTTATTGGACAAATGTGTGTTCAATGATGAGATGGTGTTCCCATAGTATTTGTTAGAATTTACAGGTTTTTGCTTGCCTGGTGCAGGGAGTCATAGTACAGAGGTGAAGATAATATTATTGAACAACCTCATTTATTCTAGCAGCTGCACATATTTTATGTTTTATACCGAACTGGTACATTGTAAACAATTAAAATACATCATCACATCTTTAAATATATATATATATCTATATATATGCAATTATTAGCAGGTATATATTGAAAGGTAAACATAAATATTAATAACTAATAACATTTACTTAATACTTACTGAGTCAGTACTATGGGTGCCCTGTCATTTGAATTATTAAACCAATTTTTTAAGTGACAAATCAGCTACTTCACAATTAACTTGTTCTGCAAACCAAATTATGTTAATTAAAATTGGGCTCTGGATATCACTACATGAACAGTAGACATGCTATAATGATGGTTGAATCTATACTCTTGTACTATAGAGAATGAGAGAATTAGTATCAGCTTACCGAAGGTTTTTCTGTTACACTTCACAGTATGTATAATAATAATGTGCTGTGACATATATGTAGATATGCAATTAAAATTAAGTAATGAAATATTACTTTTTGATTAATGAACGGGCATATTGATCATAATTATTGCCCCCTTCAAAAATATGCAAATATCAATTACAGTTGTAAATCATCAAATATTAATACAAGATCCTACATTTTAATACTGTGCTATTTCAAATGCCCAAAAATTTCTTCTTAGTTTCCATAAGAATAGTTTTATGGTGATGAAAATTGGCAGCAAATACTGTGATGATATATCAAGGATTAAAATCTTACAAAAAGAACTGATGTTGAAATCCAGCAAAACTTTATTTACAACCAATACTGTCAAACCAGAAATGGTTGGTCAGTGGCAGTAAAATATGATGTGAGTAAAAATAATGACTTGTCATTTCCTAAAATAGACTGTGGACTAGTATTCCACAAATGGTGCTTTTTCAGGAAGGAAGACATGACCAGAGTAGAGGGATGTTGTTTTATGACATGTATATCTAATAATTATAAACTGTTTTTCTTTTACTTTATTGTTTATTGGGGGGAAGTGCTGTCTTATTATTTACAGGTACAGAATATCTTTAAAAAACTTCATAAACAGCTGTTATATAAATAGGTAATAAAAATTGTTAGTTTAAAAAATATCTTTTCCAGAATTATTCTATGATTTTACCATTTCCTGGCTAACTGCTAATTGCAGTGATAATAATTAAATGGTGGGTCCCTGTTCCTTAACTGTATGTCACCTAACAGCCCACAACAACCGCCATTGGCACTCGCACCTCATTAATCGTTTATTTGTAATATGCTTAAAATTAAATTATAAAAAAACTATACATATTTTGCACTATATTTATTATGTCCTACCAGTAAATATTTTTAATAATAACAATTAAATATGGCTGCCTTTTCATTTGAAATGATTTAATCTTGTGAGCTAGCTACCAGAAATGTTTTCTTACAGTCAATAAAATAAAAAAACTTATAATTAACTCACTATTATCTGATTTCTACGAATAGGTAAATTTAGTGTTAGAACACATTCACAAAAAATTATAATAAACTGTACAGGTATTAGTAAGTTTTGTTCTGTTTCCTTTGGTACAAAAGTTATGGCTTCTTTGTTTTACAATAAAATGGGAGCTGTAGGCACAAAAGATGACGACATTTAAAGTGTGTCAATATAGAAGCAAGAAATATAAATCTATCGCCAATTTCTGTTTCATATAGCTCTCGAGAACTTGCACGATGGGAACAAGTTTCAGTCAGTTAAACTAAGCTGTGGAAGGTTTGAGATGTATCAAGACATTTTAAAGAACAATCATTGCAAAACTGTGGTATCATAGGTTTGTGGTAAGGCTGCCCTTTATGTGATGTGTACAGTCGGACATTTCAAAGGGATGGACACACCCTTTCTGTAATATATTTCAGTAGAATATATATTATTTTCATTCCTGCAACACCTCTAATGTGTTTAATGCATTCAGTATCTCTATTTGTATCATGAGACACAACTGTATTTATTCTCTGTTCTTGTCTTCACTTCTTCCACCAGTTAACCCCGTAAAACCCTTTAGTAATTGCTTTAAAAGTCAGTAACTCTGCATTTTGCAATTATGATTTTGTATGATTCAGTAAACAGCATTAACCAGTTGATCTTTGTAGTGGAGAAGTGTATAGGTGAACTTCGGCTTTAAAGGATTAATATTTCGTCGTGTTTTTGTGTTTACTGTAAAGTTTCCTCTAGTTGAATGTGCCAAATTTGGTTGACAGTCCTTGTTCCTTCCTCCAGGCTGAAAGGCGTTGAGCATACCATGCCTGAAAAAAAGAAGACATTTGTCAGGTCTTGAATTCATTAAATGCAACACAGACTAACATCTTTGCTTAGTGATGTGAACTTCCAAAATAAGTGATTTGTTTGGCCAGGTTTAATGTCAGATAATTTTGGTGAGGTAGGGCAAGTATTTGCGGTGACACTAATATGTGTGAGGAAAATATAAAACAAATTAAGGCTGTTTTAATTTGTTGAGAGTGATGTTGGCAGTGCTGAAAAAGATGATTGGTAGCTTGTCTATAAACTAAAGATGTTTCACACATTTGCAGCTACTCAGCTTTTATTTTAAGTAGTGATGATTGACTGCTGCTCCAATGACTGGTTGATTGACTGAAGGGTTTGTGGGTGAGTAGCAGGCACAGACTGACTGACAGGACAGATAAATATGTAGTTGCAGGCCATAGATACTAGCAAGCAGGATGTGACACATCACATTTATGAAAATACTTAGAAATACAACCCGCAGAAATATATTCCAAGAACAACAGAACAATTTACATAATTCCTCATCAATTGTACTGATTATTTTTCATGCATTTAAAAATACATACTCACATGTAAATATATATTTTCATTATTCTCGCTGTTTGCAGTTAGTGGATAAACTTTTAACGA